GCTAGTACGCTCAGGTGCCTATTTTTACCTCCTAGACTATTCTGGGTTTTCTCGAAGCGCCGCCAAAATAGACCTCCCAAGCCGATCCTGACTTAGTGAATGATATGCAAGTTGGGTCCAGGACTACAAACTTCTGAGCTTCACCTGTGTCATGCGTTCACCCCTTCTCCATTTCTCGTGTATCGCAGGGCTCCTTGATCAAGCCTCTTCCTTGCCTTCCGAGCTGGTCAGCTGGGATGGCAGCACACTTCCTACAGCCACGCTCCAGAGAGACATAAGCCGAGAGGAACTCGCAAGTGCTTTTCTGAACTATCACAAGGAGACCTACCTGGATGAAATCAAGGTGCAATGCCAAGGGGCCATCTGTCCGGATATGGGCTCCTGCGGACCACATTTCCCTAACCTTCGGACATGCCACCAGCCAGAACTCGCTGACCAGGCGATAGTTTTTCCCGGGCAGCCCGAGAACTGTCCTGGGAGAACGAAACTGACACCTAAAGAAGCCGCTGGTGTAGCTGCAGCAGCTGCTGTGGCGAGTGTTACTGTGACAGGTGGAGATGGGACAGCGGGATTACCGTGCAAGCACGGGTACAGGCAGGACTATTTCTCTCACGAGCGCTACGTTGCACAGTATTTTGAGATGAAAGGCGTGCTTATGTCTGCGTCGGGACTGGTTTTTAACGAATCCATGCACTTCAGCAGGCAGGGGTGTCATGCGGATGGACAGGTGAGAGAATGACTGAGTTGGGGAATCCGTAGCACGCCTTCCTTGCAAAATGGTTCATTTTTACCGTTATTCTGACATCAGTTTTCTGGCTTCCTGCTTCGTTATGTGCAGTTTCACTACAAGGCAAAGGACTCCAGGGTGATAGAAGTCAACGAACTCGTTTCATTTGTGTACCATCACGGAGGCAACTACTACCACTCACTCATCGACCTCCTCCCACAATTTTACATCATGAATGATTTCCTTCAAACCCATCCCAACATCCCTATTGCGTTCAAGAAAACCCAGCTTGCCTTTTATCGCCGGGTGCTCAGGCATGTGATTGGAGTCATGCCATACGAGCTCAATCTCCTCATAACCCCGGACCAAGACACCACCACCCTTTACCGAACCTCCACGCTCTACCAACCCGTGTACCAGACCTGCGGGAACCCGAGCCCGAGCCTCTGGCACACCCTGCGCTCCCGCTTTCTCCTTCCGCCAAATGGGCTTCCTATGTTCTCTGAAGCATGGGAAATCCGCAATCCCATCCAAGAGGCAGCTGGTGCTGCTGGTGCTGCTACTGCTAATGGCGCTAACAAAAGTATGCAGCTGGGTGCATGGACGAAGGAGCAAATGCGCCAGCTGCCTCGTGATTGGGTGGTGGTGCTGGGGCAACGGCCAGGAAGTGACAAAAGGAGGTTGGTCGGGTTTGAGTCCCTTCTTTCTGCAATGGAGCAGCTGTTCACACCAGAGAGAGTGGTTGTTTACGATGGTTCATTACCCATTTTGGAAACCAAGGGCTTATTCAATCGGGCGGCTGCTTATGTGGCGCCTCATGGAGCTGGGCTGGCAAATATGATCTTCATGCTGTCCGGGTCTTCCGTCCTAGAGATTCGGCCGAACCGGCTTCCAAATGCGTGCTACCATCATCTGGCTAGTGCGTGCGATTTGCATTATTTCCTGGTTGTGGGAAATGGGACGGCCGGCTCGCCACTGAGTTTTAATATGAGGGAGGTAAGATTTGCGCTGGATGGTGTAGCAAGGCATGCATTTGCTTGTGATGCTGAGCTTCTAGTGTGGTAGTTGTGGTGATCAGTTTTACAACTGCACCATTTTTGCATGTACATATGTGTAAATATAAAACACACCCTCTCCTCCCTTCATTGACCATAGCAATCATAAATCAAACTTCACAATAGGCCCTCCTTTCGTTCCCCTCCATTTAACAACAACAATAACATTCTACATGAGATTGTGTCAGTGTGTATTTCACCCGCTTCGTCCAATATCGAGTTCCAAGATCCTAGCGAACGACGCATTTCCTGCCTTCTGACAGCGTCGTTCCTCCACCAGCATTCCCCCACCCCCTTTTTCTCACTACTCTTTCCTCCCTCGTTTCTCGCTTCACAACTCACGCTTCTCCTCCTCTCTCTCGTTTCTCCTAACTCGTTTCTCCTACGACGCCTGTTCTACCGGCATCGGCGAAATGGCCTGATTCTGTCGCTTTTTTGCTGCCGCGAAGAGCACTCAAGTCAGAACCTTGAGCTACGAAGTCACTCGTGAAACCAAATACGGCTGGTGGTTAAAGCAAAAAAAATGTGGGTGAGCAGCCTTGTCAGGCTGTGTGGCTTCTACACAGGTGGATTTACGATGACAGCGCAGGAACTAAGGCTGTAGTTGTCAAAGCCGCTCCAAACCGCAGCGTTATATTTCCCGCCAGATTTAACGAATGTAATTCCACCACCAAGCAGCCTTCGACAGCCCGACACGATTCTACAGCATCGGCGTTAGCATCGTCGTCAGTCGTCAGAATCGCCATCGTCTTCGTTTACGTCCCGCACTTGCCGCCGTCAGCAGCGTTTCCATCACACTGCACCGTTTCCCACCACCTTATACCACTCATCTGCACCCGCGCCGTCAGCAGCGTTTCCATCACACTGCACCGTTTCCCACCACCTACCACTCATCACCACCAGCTTCAAAAAGTTTATGTTATTATCAATCGAGTATTTCACTCAGCCATTCTCACGCCTACATACCATCCACAAGCATGGGTCTCTGCTCCTCATCTCTGGAGGACGACACACCAGCACCACTCCATCCCTCATACCACCACTCCCAACCCACCTCAACCGCATCAAATTTCCCTCCCACCTTCTCACCCCACTTCTCCTCCTCATCTCCCCAACCTCCTCCCCATCTCCCTCCTGAATGCATCGCCCTCATTCTCTCTCACCTCCCTCCTACCACCATCTGCCGCCTAGCCTTAGTTTCCAAAGCATGGGCTGCCGCCGCTGCTTCAGAAACCTGTTGGAGCCACCTCCTTCCCCACGCCTTTGCCCCGAAGCTGCTTCTAGACCGCTCGTCAATCCCAAGGCTGCCTTTCGACAATCCCAAGGTTGCTCCAGCTCCGTTTCCTGGTCCGGCTCAGGCTTCCGCATCTGCCGTTCCGTCCCTGCGTTCACTCCCCAGCTCTACTGAGTCTACCACGCCTGCTGTATCTACGGGATCTCGTTCTACTGTCTTATCTGCATCGCCTGCATCGTCTGTATATTCCGCGTCCACTGCAAATCTTGCATCCTCTTTTCTCTCCGGAAGCAGCTTCTCCGATCCCCTGAAGCGCCCTTCCAGCAAGACGCTTTTCCAGGCGTTATGCCGGGGCGTGTTCTTAGACGCAGGCAGGATCCAGGTGAAGGTAGACCCAGGCACAGGCCTGATCAGCACAGCCCTTAGCGCAACTGAAGCCATGGGAATTGCATGGAGTAGCAACTCTAGCTACTGGCAGCAGGTGCAGCGGAAAGGCTCGGGATTCCCTAGGGTTGCGCATCTGGCGGCTGTCAGTGAGTTTGATCTGATTGGCCGGTTTAGTGTGCCGCTGCCGGTGCGATCGTGTAGGTATGAGCTATGGTGGAAAGTGGCTCGGGATCCGACCCTGGGGGAATCCTGGATGCCTCGGGATGTGGTGTTTGAGTGGCCGGCTGCTCTGGTTACCAGCAATGTGAAGGTTACGGGTGCGGGTTTATCGGAATCGGTGGAGATTCAGCGGCGGGTGGTGTTTAATGATTCGACGTTGCCGGGGGCGTGGTGGACGGAGGTGGGGGTGGGGGTTGTGGTGCTAGGGCCGGGGACGAAGAAGGGAGGGAATGGGGGGGAGGTTGTGGAGACGGAATGGGAGGTGAGGTTGCATGAGGTGGAGTCGGGGATGTGGAAGAGTGGCTTGTATGTGGATTGCTTCTTGTTGAGAGAAGCTCCCATGTGATGTGGTCAACAGCAGTGATACCATGCCAGTGACAAGTAGTATCAGATATTGGTTGCTTGTGTAATTTGCAGCGGCGCCCATGGATGTCTAAGTATGATGTGAGCAAATGGGTGGAATCTTTTTTTTTTTAATCTAGACGGTGATTCCTAGTTGTAGTGATCAGGTCCCTTGGTTTGGTCTGCCAACGTAACGGAGATGTTACAAACAGGGGTATACGCGGCGTCAATTTTTATCACAAATTCCCGCCATTTCCCTCCCAGGGCAGACGCTAGCGGCGTGGAATTTGTGTTTCGCCACGTGCGGTTCAGTTCGGTTCACATGCGTTGAAAACCTCCTTTGCGAGCAACCATTCGAAAAGGTTCTCACCGATTAGAACCGTGATGATGTACGAATGAAAACCAAACTCGGTGATTGAAAGCATGAGCCGCACTTCCTCTCCTTCCCAGAACTTCTAGAACGACGACCAACAGGTTTCGCCCACTCGTCTCAGAATCACCGCTGATCTCTCCGCAGCCATTTTTCCACCTCTTGGCTTGTGATCATTCGCTTCCGCCATTTCGGTTGCCTAAGACGGCGTTCTAGGGCTGTTTTAGTCGCTCATCCCAGTCTATGATAATTTTCTGCAGCCGTATCCCCGCCGTCCATTTCAAGCATTGCCCGAAGGTCGTCCTTGGTTGCATTGCTTCGCTCTCGGGATCTTCACAGCACGCATCCCCGTTATTAGGTTCCCGCTTTCCGCCCTTTGTCTCCGTGAATTTCACGTCATCTTTTCAAACCGTAGCGTCCGAGGACAGCGCGCGATCTATATCGCGTACGAACCATAGATCGACAAGAGCCAGGGAGATCTGCCACGTGGCAAAATCCTCGTCATTTGCCGCAAGCGTTAGGAAATCAAGGGAGTATAGGGTACATAAAGAGTTAATCGAATCACGGGGGTTCAGCAACTTCAGGGAATATAGAGAAGCTAAACAATTGCCGGAATATCGGAAGGATTTGCACCGTGACGTTGCTGAGTCATCTTCGCGCGCTATGATGCGGCGGGGCAGGGGGCCGAACAGCCAGAAGCGGGGCGGACGCGGAGGCGGAAGGGGTGGCGGAAGGGGCGGAGGGAGAGGCGGAAGGGGCGGGGGAGGAGGGGGAAGGGGTGGGGGGGGAGGCGGAGGCGGAGGGGAGCAGCGATGGTGGGATCCGGCGTGGCGCGCGGAGCGATTAGCGGCGATGGGGAAGGAGGTGAGGGGGAAGGGAGGACGTGGGGGGGGAGGGAAGGGGGAGAAGGGGAGGGGAGGAGGTGAGGGGGAGGGAAGAGGTGAGGGAGAAGGGAAGGAAGAAGTATGGAGAGGGAAGGAGGGGAGAGAGAAGGGGAGGAGAGGAGGTGAGGGGGAGGCGAGGAGGTCAGGGGGAGGAGAGGAAGAAGGATGAAAGATTGAAGGATGATAGGTGCTGGAGGAGGAGGGGGGAGACAGGCCGTATTCTGATTCCCACCCAGAGCCCCATCCCCATCCCCATCCCCATCCCCATCCCCATCCCCATCCCCATCCCCATCCCCATCCCCATCCCCATCCCCATCCCCATCCCTATCCCCATACCCATACCCATACCCATCCCCATCCCCATCCCCATCCCCATCCCCATCCCCATCCCCATCCCTATCCCCATCCCCATCCCCATCCCCATACCCATCCCCATCCCCATCCCCATCCCCATCCCCATCCCCATCCCCATCCCCATCCCCATACCCATCCCCATCCCCATCCCCATCCCCATCCCCATCCCCATCCCCATCCCCATACCCATCCCCATCCCATCCCCATCCCCATCCCCATCCCCATCCCCATCCCCATTCCAATCCCAATCCCCCTCCCTCGTTCCACCTAACTCTTTTCCGCCTCCTAATTTCCTTCCCCCACTATCCCACCTCCCCCTGTTGCATCTCCCCCTGACCCACCCCCCCCTGTTCGACCTCCCCCTGTTCCTCGTCCCCCTGTTCCGCCTCCCCCTGTTCCACCCCACCCCACCCCCACCCCTCCTTGTTCCGCCCCCCCCCTGTTCCGCCTTCCCCTGTTTCGCCTCCCCCTGTTCCGCCTTCCCCTGTTCCGCCTCCCCCTGTTCCGCCTCTCCCTGTTCCACCTCCCCCCAGAGAGGCCCGGCAAAGCAAGTGGACGGAGCAGCATGGGCGACACGCTTTCGGCAGCTGGCAGCAGGGGGCGGTGCGGTTGGGAGCGGTGCAGTGGCGAATGGTGCGGTGGGGAGCAGTGCAGTAGGGGGAGCAGCAGGAGTGCAGCAAGGGGGGAGCATTCCAGAGGAGATTGTGATAAGAGAGAACTATGGGAGGGAGGGCACGGAGCAATTGGCGTTACTGGCAGAGCAAGCAGGGCTGTACTTGTGAGTGAGTGGGAATGGATGTTGCGTGGAAATGGGTTTGGGGTGGTGTAGAGCGGTACTCGTGGGTTGCTGAGGAGAATGTGATTCGGGAGAACTTTGGGAGGGAGGGCACGGAGCAATTGCAATTACTGGCAGAGCAAGCAGGGCTGTACTTGTGAGTGAGTGGGAATGGATGTTGCGTGGAAATGGGTTTGGGGTGGTGTAGAGTGGTACTCGTGGGTTGCTGAGGAGAATGTGATTCGGGAGAACTTTGGGAGGGAGGGCACGGAGCAATTGCAATTACTGGCAGAGCAAGCAGGGCTGTACTTGTGAGTGAGTGGGAATGGGTGCGGCGTGGTGTAAGCTTTTAACCCAGAACCTTAAACCCGCAAACTTAAAACCCAAACCACAAACCCCGGCTTTGACATAAACCAGGGTTTTTGCGGCGGATTTATGACATAAACCCTGGCTTTGACATAAACCATTGACACCCTGAGCATAAATCGGCGGGTTTTTGCCGCTCTTGTCCCTTTTCTTGCTCGTGCACTCCGACGTGTGGGAATCACTTTCAAGAGTTCTCAAAAGGGAGAATTCTCGAAAGTAAGTCGTCGGGTTTTAGCCGCTCTTGTCCCTTTTCTTGCTCGTTCACTCAGACGTGTGGAGGGGCGCTGGCACTGGACTTTTGAGTGGCTCAACTTCTGAGGCCCCTGGCGCCTCAAAATCTTGGTGGTAGTGATTTCTTAGTTGTCTCAAAAGAGATTCATGAGAAGGGCATTGGGTCTACGGTAGTGGCTTACAAGGTGCCTTTTCTGAGCTATCAACTCATTTTTACAATCTCTATCAACCCATCCTTGTTCTCTTCCGTTCTCTCCTCGCATTCTTGCAGCCAAACATACGGCAAGGGCACCGGGACCGTAGCAGTGGCCAGCAGGGTGCCTCTCCCCAGCTACCGGGCTGATCTGGACGACAAGCACGGGCGGTCGGAACGACAGGTGAGATTCTCGTTCCACTCAGATTGACTCTGCATTGGCACTGCAACTAGGGATGAGCAAGTGGCGAACACGAACGTGTTCGAGGCGAACCGAACAGGTGTTCGTTTTTTTGCTCAACCCTAACTGCATCGGCACCAGAACTGCATCAGCAGGGTGCCTCTTCCCAGCTACCGCGCTGATTTGGACGACAAGCACGGGCGATCGGAACGACAGGTGAGCTCTTTCCCTTTTCAACTGACTCTGCAACGGCTCTGGTACTTTAGCAGTGGTCAGCAGAGCCGGGTGCCACTCCCCAGCTACCGGGCTAATCTGGACAACAAGCATGGGCGGTCGGAGCGACAGGTGAGCTTCGAGTTTGATTTTTTCCGCTCTTTTTCTCTCCCAACTCTCCATCCTCTTCTCTCATAATTCTTTTGATGCTACTCCAAGCCCCCTTCCCTCTCCCCTTGCTAGACCCTTCCCTCTCCCCTTGCTAGACCCTTCCCTCTCCCCTTGCTAGACCCTTCCCTCTCCCCTTGCTAGACCCTTCCCTCTCCCCTTGCTAGACCCTTCCCTCTCCCCTTGCTAGACCCTTCCCTCTCCCCTTGCTAGACCCTTCCCTCTCCCCTTGCTAGACCCTTCCCTCTCCCCGTGCTAGACCCTTCCCTCTCCCCTTGCTAGGGCTTGAGCTGTTGGGAGGACAGTGGGTGGAAGAGGTGAGGAGAGGGAATAGAGGGGTGAGGACATTGTTGTTGGTGGTTTCTTGGGTGCAGTGTGGGAGACATAGGGCTTGAGCTGTAGGGAGGACAGCGGGTGGAAGAGGTGAGGAGAGGGAATGGAGGGGTGAGGACATTGTTGTTGGTGGTTTCTTAGGCGCAGTGTGGGAGACATAGGGCTTGAGCTGTTGGGATGACGGCGGGTGGAAGAGGTGAGGAGAGGGAATGGAGGGGTGAGGACATTGTTGTTGGTGGTTTCTTAGGCGCAGTGTGGGAGACATAGGGCTTGAGCTGTTGGGAGGACAGCGGGTGGACGAGGTGAGGAGAGGGAATGGAGGGGTGAGGACATTGTTGTTGGTGGTTTCTTAGGCGCAGTGTGGGAGACATAGGGCTTGAGCTGTTGGGAGGAAAAGAGGTGGAACAGAGGGGAAGGGAAGATAGGGAAGAAAGGTGGTGAAATTCCCAGCACATGCTACGGATGCTGCAGCCCCCGTAGCGGATGTAGGTGGTTTCTCGGGTGCAGTGTGGGAGACATAAGGCTTGAGCTGATGGGAGGGAAAGAGGTGGAACAAGGGAAAGCATGAAGGGGGGAGAGGGGAGTGTGCAGGCAAGTAAAGTTTCACAGGCAGAGGAGAGCGGAGAGTGCGGAGAGTGCTTTTGAGGCGCCTCAAAACTCAAAAACCTTTGAGGTGCCTCAAAACTCAAAAACCTTTGAGGTGCCTCAAAACGCCTCAAAAGTTTCACAGGCAGAGGAAGGCGGAGAGTGTGGAGAGGAAGGAGAGTGTGGAGAGTGAGGAGAGTGCGGAGAGTGAGGAGAGTGCGGAAAGTGCGGAGAGTTCAACCTCAAAGAGCCTGGCAATGTGAGAGGTGGGCGCTTGGGGTGGAAGGTTGACACATCAGAGAATTCACCAAGCAGGCGCCATGGGAAGGAACCACGCAGAGGGGTGATTGGCCGTTATGAGTCAGTATTTGAGTCGACTGAAAAACAGACTCATCACAGGCGCCATGGGAAGGAAGGAAGCACGCAGAGGGGAGATTGGCCGTTATGAGTCTGTTTTTGAATCGACTCGAAAACAATGTGACTTTTGAGTCGGCTTAAAAGTAACCATGCATAGGTGATTGGCCGTTATGAGTCTGTTTTTGAGTCAACTCAAAGACAGAGTCATCGCAGGCACCATGGGAAGGAACCACGCAGAGGTGATTTGACGTTACATGGCAGTTAGAGAGGTTTGGCATCAGCAGTTACGTGGAAGGTAGCAGGAAAATACCTGGAAGTTACTGAGGTCTGGAACCAGGTAGGTTGGCATCTTCTCTTCCATGAGAATGTAACCACCTGCAGGGAGAGATGAGAGATAAGGCACATGTGCGGATGAACAGTTGAGATGACTGGCTGGAGGTAGAGAGATGAGAGTAGGTAGGTGGGCATCTTCTCTTCCATGAGAATGTAACCACGTGCAGGGAGAGATGAGAGAGAGTGGTTGGAAGGTATCAGATGAACGGTTGAGATTAATGGAGGGGATAAAGAGTCGGGTAAGCAGGTCTGTAGGCATCCTCTCTTCCATGAGAATGTGACCACCTGCTGGAAAATGAGACGTCCCAAAACTCAACTTTTATCACATGCCCATTCGCGACTCCCTCTAACCTTGCGTTATTTTTCCCTGTCAAAGGAGCTTCTCAGCATTTTACCCTCCCCATAACCCCCCCTCCTGCCCACTTCCTTCACAGTCCCCCTCTTCCAATCCAATTCCCTCCCAAACCCCTCCCTCCGTTCTCCCCATCACAACCCTCCCTCCCCCCTGCCCCCCAGCCCCCTGCCCAACCCCTCTCCCCTGCCCCCCTCTTTCCCAACCTCCAATCCCCCCCGTTTTCCCTCCTTCGCCCTCTTCACCCTTCAGCCACCCGCACCCACGCCTCCTCTCGCATCAACCCACCTTACCCCGCCCCACCCCCCCCACCCCCCCACTCCCATTCACCTTTCTTTGTGTGTCGTCCCATAGTGCGACTCCCCGTCCCCTTATAATAGTTCTTCGGGCCGCGCTTCGCTGTTAGATACTTGAATCCCTTAGCCGGCACGGATCGCCCTCGCAGCAGCCCCGTCAGCACGTTCAACATCGCGTTGTCGACAACACGTGTCTGATCGCTGACACGTTGGCACGCGACGCGTCAGTAAAACGAACACTGAAAACGTTTAATGTTCTCTTGAGTGACGTTTCAGAATCTCAGCGTTCGATAAGCGGGGATCTGGTAAAGAACATCACCAACTGCCAGGCAGGCCCGACCTTGAATCTTCAAGCGGCTAAACGGCATATAATTAGGCGCCAGCACGGAAACTACGGCGGTCGATGGGGAGGATCACGCAGGCACACGCAGGCACGCTCTCGGCCGCACGGAAAGTGGGGAGATCCAGGTTGCGACAAGCGGCGCGTGGGTTACGCCAGCTTTTGCGGTGGTCTCTGGATGAAAAAGACAGAGATGACCTTGCGAACTATAAGCACTTAGTGGTTCGTCACCAGTGGTTGGCAATCGCAAACCTTATTGCTTGAGTGGAGCTAGGTTATATCGAATCATTTCGTCACACTCGAACAGGCGAATCTACATTCTACTACCAGTTTCTAGTAACACCTCGAAGCCGTGAACACAACTGCGGCGAACTTGCGAACTCTGAACGGAATGCTGCGAACAGCACCTTTGTGTGGAGACTCAGCTGGTAACAAATCTGCCACCTCTTTTTTTGCCGAAATCGACAAGTTTCCTCGAATTCGTGTACCTGCCACGTGTAGTGTTCGTAACGACAGATGTACGCGAACCAGCGGAGTATCACATGCATCACATTGCACCACTGTTTATATGTATCAATCGTACAGAACCGTTGTTCGCCCTACTCACCCTCGGACCTTTAGTGCCATTTTGGCTTAGCTGTTCCACCACCTAAAATGCTTGTGGGATTGACGTGACATCAGTTTTTTGTGTGCTGCTTAGTTTATTTTAGGCTTGGCGAGTAAGGCCGTTCCTCGTGTTGTTCATCGCGTGACGCGCTTCGCTTCATTAAAAAGGACTCAGCAGAAAAGCAGATACAAACAAGGCTTACACGCGCCTAAGAGATTGGGCTTATGACCACGAGAAGCGCGTTCAATAGTTGAAGCGCGAATTTGTAGAGCAAGAAATAACAGAGAGACGAGCAGCGTCGAAGCAGAATTTCTGAGGCACTTTAGGAATAGAAAAGAGTGTCACGCCGTCGGATAAGTTAGGAGCATTCACGATGTTCCCAGGCGGACCAGGCGGACCAGCCTCATCGTCCTTTCAAGCCTCCCCATTTCGCGTGTGTACGCCGTCTTCAGGGCTAGCGTCGCAGTCAATCAGGGTGGTCAATTGCTATGGTCCTCTTCCCGCGGTTCTGCTACTACAGCACCGCGCGTTGGCCAATCAACGAGCTGCGTCCCAGCGAAGCAGAATTCGGATGCACAGGAGGGCGAATAAGTCGAGAATGTCTATTAAGGGCACTGGAGGAGGGGTCGAAGGGGGATCTGTTTTAGGAGACGAGATCGTGGAAGATTGCAGGAGGAGCAGCAGTAGCAGCAGCAGCAGAAGCAGCAACACAAGACCTGCTGCTAGTACGGATCCCGTCAGCAGAGCAGTCACCGGCGGTGATGGCTCTAGCAGCTCTCAATCCGTTCCTCTCCCTTCAGCCGCATCCTCTCCCTCCTCCCCTCACCCGTTCGCACAATCACTATCCGCCTCCCTCACTCTTCTCCTCCGCTCCCTCCCACTCGCCCTCCCCCACCTCCTCTCCACAACCCTACCCGGCCTGCAATCCTCTCTTCACCTACTCCCCCCTTTCGGACCCTCCTCATCACACAAATCTCGTTCTCCTTTCACCACCAACGCCTTTAGCGGGGGATCATACGGTGGTGGTAACAACAGATACCCAAATAACATTTTTTCTGGTCCCCCTTCCACGGGTCCTATCTGGCCTTGGGCTCCTGGTGGTTCCAGGGCCCATCGCAAGGTCACCGACCTTCTCCTTGCCATCAACGCAGCCGCTTTTCTCATCCAAATCCTCTCCAACAACCGCCTTCTCTTGCTCGGCGCTAAAGTCAACTCGCTCATCCGCCAGGGCCAGTACTACCGGCTATTCTCATCCGCGTTGCTTCATGCTGATCTTCAGCATCTTGTTGTGAATTCTCTTTCACTGAATACAATCGGCCCTGATGCTGAGTCGCTGCTTGGGGGCCGGCGCATGGCTGGCATCTACGTGGCATCAGGGCTCGCCAGCTCAGCGCTGAGCCTCGTGCTCAACCCTTCACCCTCTGTTGGTGCATCTGGAGCGATTTTTGGGCTGGTCGGAGCATTGGGGGTGTTCTTTCTGAGGCACAAGAAGCAGCTGAGCTTGAGGGGATCAGCATATTTGCGTGGCTTAGGCACTACAGTCATGTTCAACATGGTTCTGGGTGTCTTTTGGATGAATATCGATAACTCAGGACACCTGGGGGGTCTGCTACGTGGTGCAGCAGCGGCTTGGTTGGTTGGGCCTAGGATAATCTCAGCTGGGTTTCCGCCTAAGCTGTATGATTACTCACCCATTGCGGAGGTCCTGCAACTTCCTGCCAAGCCGACTGAATCTCCCAAGGTGTAGATTCACTATGATAATACCAAGTAAACCGTTCTTTTGTCATGTTTCATCACTAGATCAAACTTCTCTTGAAAGTGGTGATGCCTCAGCAGCAGCATAAAACAGCAACATTCCTGCCATTCCGGCCATGCCTTCTGTGACTACTGCATTCACATTTCAAACATATCTGCAAATTTATTAGGGCAGGTGAGTTCGCCACAGCCGAAAGTATCTGCCTTGTTCGCGCTTGACGTTCCCTCTGCAGTCATATGAAAGCATAGCCGACTGCAAGGAGAACGGCGACAGCCCAGGAAACTAGCATGAACAACCGGAGCGTAGGATAATCGAATCCTGCAATGCAGTTGTTTGAGTGAACAGCTGGGAAGGAAACCTTAGACAAGAGCGTTAATTTGGTACTTACAAGAGGAGACCCAAACAAGAGAACCTTAATCTACCACGAAAACGACGAATCTTGGAGGCGCGTGGATGTTCGACGTGAGTGTAGGATTCTAAGCTTCCCCAGCAGATGGATAAACGTGCAAGAACCCGAGATTATTGCATGCTGAAATCGCCAGCAAATAGGTGCTCGTGATCGAGCAGCAGATGCAGAGCCTAGTCGATGCTTGTTATGAAAACAAACAGTTGAAAATCTCATGTGTTAGGCCCGCTGGCCTAAATCCGCTAAAGATTAACGGGGTTGACTAAGGGCGCATTCCCGGCCTCGGGTCTACCGGGCGTTTGGGTCTTTCTAAATAGTGGGATCCAATCCCAAAATTCAAAGCTCGAAACGCGGACTTCCCGATTGGATCCCACAATTTCGGAAGACCCAAACACCGGAAGACCCGAGGCCGGGAATGCGCCCTTAGTCGGGGATAAACGCGGCGGAAGACTTTGTAGAAAGAGAGTGTTGGCGAAATAGGCGAAGAAGTAACTAAGTAATTGAAGAGTTGAATGAGAATTGATTGATATTGGTGGATACAAGCAAGGATGATATAACATGCAAGGTCGAATGTCGGAAAGTACTTCGTGGGACTAGAAAGTAGAAGCAAGAAAAGTAGAGTGCCACGTGGCACAAGGAAATCAAGGAAGATAAGGATAAGGGTGCGTTGGAAAGTACTGTTCAAAGGGAACAGTAAATCCCTCCTTAATACTACCCCCCTCCCAAGGAAGCGACGTCCGCGGCGCCTGCAGACTGAAGGTACGCTTGGAGGCAAGCGTTGTCGGGAGACAGCGAGGACGAAGGAACCCAGCTGTCGTCGGCTGCATCGTAACCATGCCAACGAACCTAGAAGTCGATGAAAGAGACACCCCCCTGAAGGCGGCGTCGGTGCCTGAGGATGCGTTGAATCTGGTAATCGGGCTCGTCAGTGTCAACAGCGACCGGTAGTGGAGTGCGATCACGGCCCGAGAAGGTGGCGTTGGGATCGGTGTATGGACGAAGGAGTGACACGTGGAATGATGGGTGCAAGCGGAAATGAGCAGGAAGGCGGAGGCAGTATGCGACTGGACCTAGTGCGCGCTCAATGACGAATGGACCAATGAAACGAGGGCGAAGCTTGCTGTCCTGTGGCAGTCGGAGGTTGCGGCTGTCGAGAAGGACACGGTCGCCAACTGAAAACGACACCTCACGACGACTGCAGTTGGTGGTGCGTGCCATGCGTGCATTTGCGAGCTCAAGGTGCTTCCTCACGTGATCATGGATGAATGTGAGATGCTGGTGGAAGTTGTCCGCACGAGGGACTGTGGGTGTGAGATCGACACGAGTGGGGACATTGGGGTGAGAAAGTACGAACGAGAAGTGGAATGACTATGAACGAAGTGAGTACAAATAGGAAACCCTAATTGGGTTGTACCCCCTGTGGGATACCCCACTATAGCCTACAGAAACAAGTAAGCTATAAGTTCTGACACACCCCCATAGGCAAAGTGGGGGAGAACAAGGGGTCACAAGACCGGTCAAACAAAGCAAAGCAAAGCTCAGGGTGGATCACAAAGTCACCACGCATTCCGAGCACAAGTTCAAAGGCCACAAGGCCAGTTCACATGCAAGATCATATATAGAGATATACAAGAGCAAGAGTATATATATGCGAAAGTACAAGCAAGGTCAAGAGGAGAGCAAGTGAGGCAATACAGGCACAAGACCCAACTGCGTGCAGCAACGCTGATGATCACAAGGCGCAAGTGCCTTGGTGAAGACATCAGCAGTGTTGGCCTCAGAGGCCACGTACGCAAGTCGCAGCTGTCCACGCTGCTGTAGCTCACGAGCAAGAAAGTAGCGAAGAGCAATGTGCTTCGTTCTGTGCTCCAGTCGCTGCTCTCGACACAAGGCCAGCATGGCCTTGTTGTCTACGTACAGGACTGGAGGAGAACGAGGCTGCTCTCC